ACACACACACACACACACACACACACACACACACACACACACACACACACACACACACACACAGCTGCTTGGTCGGTTGCTCAGTTAGTTTTGTTATTCCAAACCAGCTGTCTGCTCAATTTCCTAGAGTCAGGAACATCTGTGTGTGCCCTCCCTCCTAATCCCCTCTCACTATCTCTCCTCTGTCGTCTGCCCACACACTCCTTGTATTTTCATTATTAAGAGCGTATCAGTGTGACAGGTAACAGAAATCCAACTTAAGGGGAAAAACCCCTTCAGAGCTGAGTTAAATTGGTATGGCAAGCTCCACCGTCAGCAGTCCTCTATGTATGTGCATTTTTCTGTGTGTGTGTGTGTTTGCCTCTTTATGCTTGATTTTGTGTGTGTGTGTGTGTGTGTGCGCGCATCTTGGATTCCTCTCTGGGGAAATATGTCTTTCAGTATTTTTTATAGTATTTATACATTTTCATTCTCTCTATCTCCGTGTATATCAGTGTACTGTAGCTTTCTAGGCTATTAGGCTGCTGACTGTTGTATACAGTACAGTGCTGTTGGCGGGCCAGAGATAAGCTGGGGGATTGCTTTGCCGCTGCCGCTTTGTTGGAGCTGTGATGATGTGCTTCTGTCAGGCTCCTGAGGTGTTTCTGTTGTTGCATGCGTACATACATCTTTATATAAGAGAAATATGAAGATTTTGTCCGTGGGGTGCTTATGCTTTCCTTTGAATCCCTTTAGGCTTTTTAAATGTTACTCAGAAAATAAGTTAATTAAACACTTTGGCCTTTTATAAAATTTACCTTGATAATTTAAAATGTGCAGCTCTGCAGCCATGAATGTTTTATCTAAAACTGGAGCTGTTACGAGACAGCAGCAGGAGGCTAGACACCACCGGTTTGAAGCTCTGAGTGACTCTTTAAGTGGACTCACAAACCTCATTAAAAATGTCACAGGTTGCTTTTTGTTATAAAAGGTGTTCACTGGTTTTATGCGGTGACTCTACAATGAGAATGGTCCCAGCTCAGGGGACTTAAAAAATAGAAAAAAAAAGATTATTTTTTATTTTTTTGCTGATATTTACTTGCACATAATTGTTTGTTTGTTGTATATGTTCACTTGTATGTACTAATATTGGGTGTAAACTGCTGTTGGAAACGTTTAATGAAAATCCAAAATATGGAGAATATGGAGAAGATATTTTCCCATCCTTATTCCTGTTTCTCCTCGTTAAAGGCCACCTCACAATTCCTTGATTTCTTTTTTGCAGATGACTTGTTTGTTAAAGTGTTACATTATTACAAATGGTGATTTCTGCCAGACATTGCTGGGCAAAGTAATCACTGCACTTGGCAGAGAGCTGCAGTGATTTATTGAAACTTTTGGCAACATACATAGAAACATGGTATACAAGTGAACAGTTTTTGATTGATTGATCATACTTTATTCATCCCAAAATTGGGTTAAGGCTGCCATACATACCATACATACATTACACAAACATGTTTTTCTATCCAGGTTTTTATTTGCTTTTATTGCATTGCAAGTGTGTTTGGGATCATTGTCACTCAGCTGATGGTACTTTTTTGTGTTCATAGGCTCTAGTGTTTAAGCTTTTTTAGCTACAAGCTTATTTTGTGAAAGGCATTTCTGTAAAAATGGTCAGGTACAAGGACTGGACTGGAAATCAATGAAAAAAGCAGCCAATGTCCAAAGGAAAACAAAGAAATACCTTTAAAAAACCTGGAGAACTATTGCTCCAGAGAATAACATACATATGTTTACAGTATGTGATTGTGAACAGCTATGTGTGTGTACCAGCAGTCCACTTGGATAACTTTACTCCTCTTATTTGTGAACTTGTACTGCCTGTGATTCTCAGCAGCTGTTCTCCCTACGGTACCTTTGTTTGGAACCACAGGAAGCTCCTTCATCAATACCTGTCTCACTCTGTCTAGACGTTCAGACACTTGCTGGAGGTTCTCTCTATAATTACAGTCTAGCTTTAGATTTTCTAAAACCTCCCCCTAAAGAGCCATTGCCACGAGTTTATTTGAGCTCTGTCGGGCCTTTGGACATGCTGAATATGTTCCTGTGTAATTTATTTTCAACCTCTTTTATTTGTCTTGGCTCATGTCTCTCTCCCTGTCTCTCCCTCCTTCTAGCCTCAGTCTATTAGTCTCTGTGTTTGTTATGTGTGGTGACAGTGAAATAACACTGTTCATTTGCTTTTGCTGAGGTGAAAAAACAATCCATCTTACACCCACCTTCTGGAAAAAAGAAAAGATTCAGTGCTCTGACTTTAGCGTGTTCTGCCGTTCTTTGCTGAGGGAACTGGATTAGTTGGCGTTAATAGGCTCAGAAGCGCCGCTTCAGGCTCTGCTGGGATGACTTTAGCAAGTTAGCAAGCTACAGTAGTGCAAAGAAACAATAAACTCTATCTGAAGAGGAAGTCGGAGTAGAACAGGCAATGGTGAGAGAAGGGGAGTTTATCATTTTGACAGAACAGTAAGAAGATTTCTGAGAAAGAAAAATGTGGACATGAAAGGAAGTATATATGCATACTCTAAGAGAGTGCATACTCTGTGGACGTGTTGTTGTCTTTTCAAGCAGACTATATTGTTATACTCATATCGCATTCAAAATTGAGATTCATTGTGTTTGCATGGTTGCGTTGTTCAAAACAAGACATGGAACAGCTGCCAGTGTCAAAGCTCACCACAGAAGATGACTCTGTAATATGAGTTTTTCACCACAGCGTGTCCTTTGGACATGTCTCAGTATCTTTTCATCTTTGTCAATGCTCCTTCTCTCTCTTTCTCTGTCTGCTGCAGCCCTGTCCGTGTTGCGGTCAAGCGAAGAGCAGACTCCAATTCCACAGAATAAGTTCATGGGCGACATTGAGGAGCTGGCTGCTAGCTATGAACGCAAACTCATCGAGGTGAGTGTTGTCCTCATTCATACTGCTACAGAGAGAAGGATCAGCGTCAAATGTTTTTAAAGCTTGTTTATAATAAAATCCAGGAAGTTTCCAGGTTCCCTCCAGTTCATCACATGAGCGACATACTGTAAATGTTAGTTCCTCATGTTTGAGACATTGCATTGCTCCCAATTTTCACACTTTAAGACAATTATTGTGCTAACAAGAGAGATAAAATAACAAATTGTATCTCTGGGTTTAGTTCCAGAGCGGTTCCCTGTGTTTTCTACCACATTAATAAATACGGATAAGATTAATTGTAGCTAAACTGCCATTTCAATTTGTGTTTATCTCATCGTTAGCAAGGGGCGACTCCTGTGGTTGTGAAAAGTAGTCAGATTTATTGAGGTCTATGAGAAAATAATCACTCGATTTGTGACCTCAGTTAACGTTTTTCTGCTAAGCTTTTGCTCGACCACTAGTTTCACATGTTCAGTTTTTTTCCACTGCTTCAGGCCTTTAAGGATCTATAAAACTCTGTGTGAGGAACCTGGGAGTGGTCTGCACGGCACTTTTTGCGTTTGATAAACGGATCCGTGCTGTTGTTAAAACGAGCTTCTTTGCTCTGCTTCAGAGGGCATCCATGGCCTCAGTTTGTCTCGACTGTTGCGTCTTTATTCAGTCTGTCACTGCTTGGCCGACTGCAGCTGCTCAGCTGTTAAACTGGCTCATGCGAGCAAGACCAGATATCACTCGTGTTGGCTTCCTTAGATCTGCCTCCTGCTGAGTTTTAGAATTGATTTGAAGATTTTCTTGTTTGTTTTTAAGCCATTACATGGGTTGGCACTTGTTTACGTCTCTGATCTTTTAACTTTGCTCACTCCAACTAGATCAATGAGGTCTGCTGAGCAGATGCTCCTAGCTGTCCCAAGGTCCTGATTAAAACATAAAGGAGATCAGGCCTTTGCAGTGGACCAAACTGCACCTTCACATCAGGAGCTTTCCAAAATTACTCATTTCTGAAACTCGTATGAGCATTATTTGGCTTTTAAAGCAGACTGAATACTGATTTCTGTTTACTGCTGTTGGATTTATGTTTCACCCCATTTTTGTCAGAAGGTGGGTTCTTTCTTTCTTGTTAAAGCACATAATGATGTTATGAGAGAGTCCAAAAATTTACATATAGAGAAGTAAAATAAAAATAAGACTTTTGAGAATTTTCAAAAGAGTAGTAATAAATAATATGTACACTAAATCTTCAGTTACGTGCTGGCCCTCAGTTACTTAAACGATGGCATCTCTGGCACTGATGCTGCTCCCCCCAGCAGAAAGCAGCAAAGTAGATGGGAGTTACAACCACAGACTAGTAGAAGATCTCCAGCATCTTGCTGCACACATTAAAGGATCTGAGCTTCCTTAGAAAGTAGAGTTTACTCATCCCCTTCTTGTACAGAGCATTGCTATTGGTCCTCCAGTCCATTCTGCCATTCATGGCAGTGACCAGCTTTCTGTACTTGAACTCCTGCCCACCCTTAGTGCAGCCAACCACTGCACGGTCATCAAAGAACTTCTACAGGTGGTAACCCAGTATTACTAACCACCACCACCCAGACATACAGACTGAGGTTGATCAGTTTTGTTGTTATCTTATTTCATATTCTTTTGTTTGTCGAACAGTTTGCACTTAAATGTGCTTCTACTAGAGCTGGGCGATATGAGATTTTTTCATATCACGATATGTTTTTTTCATTTCAGGCGATAACGATATCTATCACGATATAAGCCAAATAACTATATTTGTAAGATTTAAATGTGCCGTTGCTCACAAGTAAAATGTGAAAT